TTGCATCTAGGTGTAGATCTTGGAGCTGTCTGTGCTTGAAGAGAAGAAAAACCTTTCATAAGATGGGGGAGGAAGGAGAAATGACTGAAATGAACCTTTATATTTTTGTATAGAGATGTGTGCAGTGACATGACAAATAGCACATGGTTTGTTAAGAAGTTTTTTTAAAAATTGATGGTGGCTTAACAATGATAAAGTGTTTAAATGTTTCTATGTTGTTTCTGTCAGCCAACAAATGAAAGAGATGGAGAAGTTGGGAGTCCTAAAAGGAGCTTTGAGTGCGGAACAGCAGTTGGCTCTCATTAGCGTTTGTACAGACCTGAAGGCAGCAGTAGAGGGTGCTACTTTCATTCAGGTAAGCAAAGATTTGCCAACTCCTAGCGGACGGTTCAGAAAGACGATTAAAAGCTGTGCTAAGCAGTAGGTGGGCACTGGAGACTTCAACATCATGACCCCATAAGGATATAGTAATTTTCGTTAAAGTTCTTTCTAGCCTGGTATCCTGACATGGGAGATCATACCTCTTTGCGGAATTTCCTACACTAGAGTCCTTGCAAGTTTATTCTGAGTTATGGGGGGAAAGGCTGGCAGCTAAGCTGAGAGGGAATAGCTGATCTCCATGTATAATAATGACTGTACCTGTTAGAAAGGTGAATGTGAGGTGAAGGTTGACAGGAGATTTTTGGGGGACAGATTATCTCTTAGGGAATGCCACACATTCTAGAGCTGGATCTCTCCAGGTACCTAGTGAAGGCAGGGAGTGTGACATATGGGGTGACTGTTCTGACTGTGAGGGGGTGCTGTAGCCAAAACCAACTATCCCAGAGTGTTACAGTAATAAAACCAGGGTTGATACATAGGTTTGAAATCTGTGCTGCTAAGTAATATTAAAATGGGGAACAAGCTGAATTACTAGATCAGATAGTTTGTGGTGGCTTATTTATTAATGTGCTTACTGGATTGGACATAGTGCAGAGAATAAGCTAATCTGGGACCATTTCTGGGATAAAGTATGAATAAGTTTTCATTAGGATTGGCATCTTCTATCCTATATAGCTCCTCAGTATTATTCCAGTGTTGTACCATTAGCTGTCCCTACATGTATTTGTGCTGCACTCGAGTTTACGACTTACACTGTTTCAGGCTATAAATTCCCAGTCTGATCAGCTGCAACACAACCCTAATAACAAATTGAACTGAAAGAGCACAGACTTCAGACCTTTTATTCCTCCCAGTTTGGTGAAGTGAGGAGGAGCGAATGGGAGGCAAGGAGAAGCCTCACACAGAAGTCAAGGTTTGAATGTACTCTAGATTTTTACAGTGGTACACTGTTTTATGCTCACTCCTTTTCTTCATAGCATGAAATTATATTTTGTTTCTCCCAATATCTTACTCTTGGAATTGTTAGTTCATAGTATTGTGTTCATGCATGTATTGCCTACTTCTACAGAGTTTAATTTGCAAATTTATTGTCTAATCACTCAGTCTTTTAAAGTCCTTCTGCAAATGTTTGTGGCTGTAATAATGATGGCCAACTTAAATTTCATGAGCTAACTTTCAGTTCATTTATGAATGGGTGTAACAAAGGGCACAGCTGTCTGTAAAACAGCACTGGCCAGCCTATTCCAGTGAGTAAGAAATGACTGTTCTTGCTACCTTCTGCTTGTGAAGTCTGCCTTCTTGCTTCCAGTATTCTCCTAGTTCTTCTTGTTTTCTTTTGCTGTTTCAAGCATTTCTTACTACGTGGTATATCCATATGGTGTCCTTACTTTCTCTATGTGCTACCTGTAAGGATCTGATCCTTCTTAGTGCCAACTTTGTATCTCTTTAGCATTCTCACTTCTATTTTAACATCTTCTTTTGAAGCTGACAATAGCTGTGATGCAGTTCTTGGATCTTGTTGCTCTGGCAGGGATGTTGAGTTTTGGTATACTTTTGGTGCCATGAGAGAAGGCTTTGGCAAAATCTTAAAATTTTTGAACAAGGTCTAGCATGCCAGGTCAGATTAAATCAAGCGCTGCATCCTTCCCCACCACTGTATCAGTTCATTTATAAAATGGGCATTGGGCAAATGTTGCAAAATCAAAGTAATTTCCTGTTAGAAGGAACCTGTGGAAGTCATCTGGCCCAACCCATTCCAGGACCAACATGCATCAGCTTGCACAGAATTTGTGTAGTTGAGTTTTGGATAAGCACTTCTGGTCTCTTTGGGTAACTTGTTACAATGTTTGATTACTGTCATTTTGCAACATTTCCATAATGTCTAATTGGAAGTCTCTTCTTGCAACTTCAGTCTCTTGCCTCCTGTCCTACCAACCTGCACCTCAGAGAACCTTTCAGGCAGCTGAAGAGAGTGGTGTTGTCTAAGTAGTCTCCAAACAGCAACAGTGTGCCTGGGGTAACTCCAGCTTTCTGGTGCTATTTTTATGTTCCCTTAGTCCTCTTGATGTTTCTAAACATGTAGTTGTTTAGTATATCAATACAAATTAACGAAATAGCTGCAGCATGCTCATAGCTGACAAGTCATGTGCCTGAAACATGGTTGGCACTATTTGTATCAGCTCTCCAAACTATAGCATTAAAGTTTAGTTTGATTCAAAGTTACAAAGTTAACAAATGCACAGTGGAAGTGGGCAGGCAATTTATTTGGAATAGACTTTTATTTTCTCTTGAAGGAAAGTGGTGGAATAGAATGAAACGATCTAGGCTCACAGCCTTATTTCAGCAGTGAACAGACTGCTTTATGACTGAACCATATTAAATTTAAGAAATGCTGCTTAGTGCAGCTTTGAGTGTGGAAGGATAAAATGTACTAATTGTAACTTAGGTGCACAAGTGTTCTGACTTCTAGTTACTTAAAAAATAAAATACTGGTTGCATTAATCTTAGTTGAAAATAGAGGACTCAATTTTCATGCTTAATGATATAGCCTACTGATTAGCTTATTTCAAAATTTTTGTGAGAACTGCATTTCTTTACCCTGGATTTCAGTTGGTTAAATCTTAACTTCTTTTCAAATCTGGCCTTTGTAGAATAAGTCCACTTAAAGCTTTTAACAACTTCTTGATGTTTGCCCTCAGTGAGTAAATTCTTCAGACAATTGCCTTCTGTGTAGTTTTCATAGGACTTAACTGAAAACAGATGGGATAAAGTAGTAAAAAATGGAACTTCTTAAGTTATATCAGTGAAGATACAAAAGGGAAAACGATGCAATATATAATTAGAAGGACTGAGAAGAAAATTTATGACAGTAACGTTTTGAATCTTTTAAAAGGTTATATACTCTTTCTCCTGAGCATTTTCATGAAGTAACTTGCCTTAATTAGTGTGCTTTACATCAACTTCAGAAGGAAATCAGTGTGTTCAGCTCTCAAACTGAGTATTCACACAAGTTCACTTCTCAGAACTTTCCTATGCTACTTGGAATAAATGCATAACCTATAGCATGTAGGTGAATGTACACTGCAAGCTCTTCCATTAGCTGAAAACTCCATGGAGATAAATTAATGGATAAGTTTGTACTATAATGTTCCTGGCATGGGACTATCATGGGTGATTTAAATGTTTCTTACTTTTGTGCTCTTAGCTTTCCTGCATAAATATATGATGACTTTTGTCTTCCATCTTTATGTGACTACTGGGTATTAAACGTCTTAGTACTCCTTAGAATATTAAGACCAGGTTTTAGTGGATATGTGTCTAGTTCATAAATAATATAAATTGAACAGAAGTCAGTGAAGCACTTGTATGACCTCTTAACACAACACTAGTAAAACAAAACCAAAGGTTTTAAAGTGAACAATTTTCTAACTGAACAATAAAGTTTACTAGCTGTCAGAGGAAGATAAGATGGCTAACTGTTGCTGAGATCTTACCCTTGACACCTGAGCTGCTCTGTGTTTTGGTGAGTTATGAGGGCTGGCTGGGCTGGTTGAAGATGGACACAAAAGGTGACTGAGGGATGCTCACTGAAGCCATCTGTTGTGCTGTAGGATTGAACAGAGCAGACTGGGCAAGGGGATGAAGTTAAGCTTTTAACTTACACCTTGTGTTCTTGAAGTATTTATCCTTTTTACTTTGAAAAGAACTCTGCCTAAAAGCCTTAGAACAGTATCTTCATTTCCTGCCCACCTCCTTAAAAAGAGAGGGTGTTCTGTCCCCTCTCCTCCTCCTCCCCATTACACCTGCACAGACTCTTGAGCTGGTGATAACGACACTACTAAATTTTCAACTTGGTATCTTTCAGATCTTGCTGCCTCTTTCATCTTTTCCAGTTAGACGTATTTTTAAAAAACAGTGTTAACAGCTTTCAAAAAGCCTGGTGGTGCCTTCAGGGTCTAAAACCAGCATTGACTTTGTAGCTTTGACAACAGGTGTCTTGTGTCTCTGGTCATAAAAATTAGTTTCTGACTGTCTGTTACCAGTTTGTACTCGTAGCTTTTGTTTGACTTTCCTGACAGCTTTCAAAAACCCTTTTACTTCTGGGGATGAGGGAATGTCTGCAGACAGTGGGTGAGGATATCTTCAGCTGCCCTGAGCTCACAGGCTGTAAGACCATAGCGTTTTGGAGGCTCTGTTAGTCACAGACCTCTGTAAAAACGAAACTGCTGGCAGGCAGAGTGTGCGAGCATTGCAGTAACATGGCTTGTTCTGAACTGAGCCCTGGACGAACAAACATGGCTCTGTTTGCTCTCAGCTGGGCAAATATAACCTTAGGCCTGATCTTACCCTACAGAGCTTAAACACTGGACTGAGGCACCTAAAGTTGTGGTTTGGCTTTTGAGGGAACAGGTTTTAGGAATGGGACCTGACTTACTGGCTTTGTAGAAGTTGCGAGAAAATTCTTTCTAATTTTAAAGATCTAAATGATCAGATCTTAAAGACTTGCTGTAAAACATTTTATGAAGTCATTGTCTGAGTTGAACTGAAAGAAGATGTTTAGGTAAAGAGCTTGCCAGTGTCACTGCAGTGGTGCTGCTGCTGCATAGACTTATGTCCTTCCCCTCTATTTCCCACCTATTCTGTCCATATACCGGCTGGTGTCATCTACCATTACAGTCCTGAATATGGTTTTGGTCCCTGTTTCAAGAAGTTGTCATTGCCAAAACTGTCGTCCTGTCTGACAACTAATCTTGCTCTTCAGGTTCTCTTCCATTGCTCCCTGGTCCCTTTTCTGGGGAGGTATTGTGTTTCCATTGCCTTTCCTAGATCACTTGCCCTTTTTTCAGGGTGGATGACATCAGGGTAGAGGAAAACAGAAAATCTAGTACTTTGAGAGAAGGTGTAGGGAGGAGGAGGTCAGTCAACTAGTTTGAGATCTTACTGTGCTTTCCTGAGGGAACAAAAAAGATCTTCATCTGTAGCAGCCTGACCGAGTTGTCTGTGTTTTGAAAGTTTTGCAGGACATGCAAACATCATGGAAAATAATGGATCTTTTCATGCCATGATACTAACAGGAGAAGAAGCAAACTTGTCTTCATTTGCTGTATTTGTTTTCAACAAAAAAAACAGGCAAAAAGCCTGTCACAGAACCCTCAAACCCTCCCAAACTTGCAAGTCTGATTGTCGAAAACTAGTACCTCCGCAAATCCTGTTTTTTTCCTACTAAAGGTTGAAAGGACCCTTGTAATTCAGTCATTTATTCTGAACAGTATAAAATGGCAGTAACTTGATATTTTTATTGGTCAGATTCTTTAACAGAGTATGTTTATGAAATGTAGGAAAGTCCAAAATGTTTCCATCCAAGGGCTGGATTTCACCTCAGTGTTGTTTACTTGCACAGTATCCTGCAGTCAACAGTCTTTCTTGCCACTCAAGAGGTAGTGATTTATGAAGCATCAGATTTCACACTTGTATGAGCTCATATGTTCAAGACAAATAAGAAGTTATCACTCTAGATCTAAAGTGATTTATAGCCCTAAATTATTTTTTTAAATTAGATTAGCCTGAAAGTGCTGGTGCTTTACCTTATCTTTTACGACTGCTTTTACAATAAGCTTCTTCATCTAGTGATGAGACCAAAGGCAGGATCAGTCATACCTTGACAACTGTGTGTCAAAAATGTGTTAACTTGTTAAAATTCCCTTGTGGTGTGATTCCTTCTCCTCCCATGTTTTGCATTTTGCTCCAGTGCATACATAACGCATAGAAAGCCTATGACTGAAGCCCTGGGATGTGGAACCCACATGCCTGTACTTTATTCACATTTTTTATAATAGTGTCACATGGTGATAATGTGGCCCTCCCATTCCTAACAAACGGCCAGTCTGCTTTTCACTTAAAGGAACTGCGGCCCTTACTCTGCCTTCTTACCCTTGGCTTGCAGGATAGCAGTAGTTAGTAAGATAGTTCAGGTTCAGAATAAAAGTCTTGGTTGCCAAGGTTATGTGGCTTGTTTTGGACTAACTAGAGTTGGTTTACACCTAAGGAGGCGTTTGTTGCAAGTGATATTTTTGTTAATGATTTGCTTTTGTTCATGAGCTTTAGACCATCTTGGAGGAAGTTGTGTACCCACCAAGTGGAATGAGTATCTGCTGTGGGAGAGGGGTAAGGCAGCCTGATGAGCTCCTGTTCCCCTGTGTGTCTCCCACTGGGTTGGGTTTCTGCTTCACATCCAAGTGCTTCAGGGTTTTTGTTGGTGGTTTGTTTTGGTTTTTCTTTCCTCCTTCTACCTCATTTTAACTTATCTAAATCCAGACATTGCACTGAAAGATGTGCAATAATCTGGGGTCTCCTTTGACGACAGCTGTGTGTCTCATCCCAAAGCCATGCAAGGGTGTGTGTGCTCCTAGCCAGCTGCTGGCCCTGCCTTTATCCTCAAGGAGAATAGCAACACTTTACACAAAGAAACTGAAGTAAATATGTTTTCCCCTTACTGTCTTTGAAGTTATGAATTTTTGTTTGCCACCTTGTCTTAATAATGTCTTGGTATACTGTTAGATGCACATACTATCTCTAAAGTGCCTCAAAATATGCATCTGAAACTATTTTTGAAGGGAGCACGATGGAAAAATCCAAAATACTTGAAGTCAAGTATTTACATTTGAAATATGTAATGATTTTGAATTTTGCGAAATTACCAAACCTATTCAATGTATGAAAAAGATATTTAGTCTAAGTTCTATTGGTTAACAATAAAATTAGAAGCAAAATTCATACTCAGATTTAATAATTTGTTTTGATATTAAAAATACAGTTTTATGTCTCTGCTTGTTTCACTAGGTAAACTCCCAGCCTCTGCAGTAAAAATGTCACATTTTTAATTGTAGGTGGTGTAGTTTCCCAGGTTCATGTGTGTGACTCTTGTTTACTGGCTAGAGTGCACTTTAGTGTCTGTCAACACAATAGAAAAAACCCAAGTTTCCTTAACAGAAGGTATCTTCCAGAATGGAGATACACACTTAAACCCTGCAGGAACAGAACAAACCAGCATGTCAACTCAAAAGCCAAAATAGAAATGATAATAATTAGGACTGGAATACTAATGATAAGAATGAGCATTTTAAACACTCTCTTGCTTAAAATATAATTTGATGTGGATTCAATAAAATGGCGACTAAAACACAGCAGTCTGTATGCAAAATGGAGCAAATAGATGGAATTTTGCTTTGGTAGCCTCAAATTTGCCAGTGATGTTGGGGGAAACAGAACTGGTTAAATGGCAGGGTTTAATTTGCAGAGAGCTTATTTTAGCATATGTACTTTTTTCAAAGAGGCTTTTACAAGAATCCTTTATTATATTATCCAGATATGATAAAATTCTATGGAATAATTGTGTTTAACTGTACAGTTGCTATCTATAGATAGTGATTTGAAATCTCTATTTAATTTCAATAATTTGCAGGTCTCTTTTTCAGGTATTTTTATTGTCTCTCTTAAACAGCATTCAGGTTATGTGTATAAAAGTCCACAGGCCAAAGCTTTTGTAGTTTTATATTAATCAGGCTTTGTTTTAGAAAGAAAACATTCTCAAGTGACTTGTTAGATTGAAAGTAAAACAATTATGCCTGTCTTTTCTGTGAACTTCATTTTCTAGCAGATTATAACTGTAGAAGATAATGGAAGTATTTGTAGAAATGTATTAGGCACCAAGCTTTCAGAAAAGCTCCTTTTCTGACATGCAGAACTCTTTGTCTCTTAATCCTGTGAAGTTCTTTATATTCCCACAAAAAGCTGGATATAGTGTGGTTCCTGTTGCAGGAGTGCTGACAGTCTGGGTCCAGCTTGTGGGATAGTTGAGTGCTTTGAAAGCTGCTGCTATGGCCTCATTCTTTGAGAGGAGAGCATTGCTGTCACTTGACTCTGGGAACTGTTCTAGAAGAGTGCCTTAAAAATGTCAGCTAAATCACAGCACTGACAGTCTGAGGCTCCTGAAAATGCTGTGAGTTTTATATGTGTGTAAACAAAGCAGGGGCTTGTGGCACGATTGGAGAACCTCATTTAACTGCAGAAGATGAGGCACCTTCTTATTGCATTCAAAGTGGTCGTGGCTTCTAAGCAATTTACCTGCTACTTAAAACCTTGCTGAATTTACTGGGAAAGGGGAAGTTGCAGATCTCTACAAAATAATTTTCTGCCTCAGTTATGGTTGGGCAAGGGCACAGGGTGCTCTTGCTGTAGCAGCTGCAGCATGACAGTGAAATGCAGCTCTTGGGGGTTAGGTGGTACAAGACAAAGGTGAATAGCTGTAGGAGGGAAATGGCTATGGGAGGGGAATAGGGTGTTTCTTGCTCTCCCTTGGTTTGATTGATTTGATTGATTGAGGAGCCAGTTGAGAACTTAAGGGTTAAGATTAGCAGGGCCACCAGTATGGGAGACTTTGTAGTAGATGTCTGCTACCACTTCATCGGGAAGCAAAGGCCTTCTTCAAAAACCTCACATTCACAGACCCGTGTCTTCATGGTGGGGCTTCAACCACATCAATATCTGCTGGAGGGACAGTGCAGGAGAGAACAAAGAATTCAGAAGGATTGTGGAATGCATTCATAGTAACTTTAACACAGGTGGTTGAGGACTAGAAGAGAGGACGTGTTGTGCTGGACCTCACAATGAAGAACTGGTTGGAGATGTGAAGGTCAGGGGGAAGTCTTGCCTATAGTGACCATGAGATGGTGAAGTTGAGGATCCTGAGAGGAGAAGCAAGACAAAAACTGGGATTACAGCCCTAGACTTCAGGAGGGACAACTTTGGCCTGTTGGGCCGAAATCTACTTGAAAGAATCCCGTGGTATGGGATACACTCCTGCAATGAAGATGGGTCAAGACGAAGCTACCTTCACTTGCAGGAATGTATGTATTATCATAAATCTTCATATTAGGATTGCCAGGGAAGAAATACTTGTTTATATTTTGAATTTGCAGCAGACAGCATCTAGTCAGGAGGTAGGAATTCATTGTTGTGCAACTGTAGCTTTCAGACTTCTTTATTCAGCAATTCCTAATGGTGGTGACTTCCATCAGACTCTGTACTCGTTATTGGGAAGGCTTGATGCTGCCCCTTGTGACAATATCTCCAGGTGATCTTACAGAAAGTGGCTTGCTTGTTGCTGAGTGGTTGCTAATCTTTGACCTTCTGCATGCTAGTTTAAATATCTGGCTTTCATCTTACACTGCTTGTGTAGGATGTTTACTTATTTTAGGACCATACCACTGTGTTGCAGGGTTTTGCTTCAGGCCATATTTTGTTTCTTTTGCCTCCCAGTACTAATAAATTGCTCAGCAGCAATTCTCATTGATAGTATAAGGAAAAGGTATTTTTCAAGAGCGTTTTGGGGAGTGTTTTTCTAGAAGTTGCAGAGGAGTTGCTACTTCGGCATATTTTTGAGAATGATGGGAAGAACCTGGGGACATGCCAGCATTTAAATATAGGAAAATGAAGTTGTGCATTTAGATGAGTGTGGATACATGTGAGAGCACAGATGGTGGATGGCATGGTGAGAAAGGCCTATACAAAAACAGAGAGACATTTGATTTAAACAGATAAAACTCACAGGCTTTCCATGTACTGGCATTTCAGGGGTTGTGTCATGTGAGTGCAGCTCCTTAATTAGGGACCTCAAACACCATGTGGTGTATCAGTTAGCTAGGGAGGGAGTCTAGTATGTGTTTATCTTTGTGTAGTTCTTTAAGAGTTCATAAACTGGTTCGAGTAGCTTCTGTGTGTTCTCTGAACATATATTTGAATAATGTAATTCCTATTACATCTAAGCCTTTAGTTCAATACAACACTTCCAGGAGATGGGTTTTAAAAATTAACAGCTGTCATGTTCTGATCAGGCTCTTGAGAGATGTCTAATAAAGTTTAAATTGGAAGCCAGATTTGTAGCAACCTTGTTTAGGTGACCAGGCCTTGGAATAAAGGTTTACTGTTCACTGCAAATGAGAAGCATGATATTCCCTAAGAAAAGAGCACAGAAATATACAGTGTCACTTAAAATGCACAGTGGTGCATATTAACCTTTTTGCACTGATTCTTTGAGAGAAACTGTGGTAGCTTTAAACCCGTATCTTATCTGCACTCTGTTTGATCTTCTCTTTCTCATGGTAAACAGAATAGCTTCAGACCTCTCCAGGCTCCATAACTGACAGCAAGTGAGGTTCCTGTTTAATGGATTGTTTAGAGCTTAATTTTCCTCCTGTTCTTCAGGGAATTGGTGTCTCTGAGAAAATAATTGCATGCTTGAGAACAGAAACTTTATTGCAGTGGTCCAACAACCTGAATACAATTGTGACACTATACAAGAAACTCCAAGCAAATGGCCCATTCAGAAACCTTATGTAACCATGGCAGGTTTGAGTTTCCAGCAGATTTGAGTTTGCCTTTTTGATTATCATCTGATGTGAGAGCAGGCTTAGAGTTTCAAGTTCACAAACCTATTCAGAGCAGCTCTTTTATTAGCTTGAACAGTATCTGCAGAGCTCTCGTCATCTTTGGCTTCACTAAAAGAAGCTATTTAAACTTAACCAACAAGCAGGGATTCTGGAACTATGAGCAGAGTATCATTTTGTTTTGATAAGGCTGTCTAATACTTTGGGCTCTATCTGGAGTTCTTAAATGACCCTATTTATCTCTTCTGCATCATGGAACCTTTAGTACTGTTCCATGCAACTTATTTTTTAAGACTTCAAATTACTTTTAACCCAGTTTAGCAACTCTGGCCCTGGGCATTCTTGCCACAGAGTCTGTCTGAAGCAGCAGATGTTAAATGTAAATTTTGGATTGTGTCAAATGTGTAACCTTTTTCCCTAATCTTGCTGTGTGTAGTTCAGCATAACAGAAAGGACAGAATGAAGTACTGACAGGTGAGAGAAGGTTAGGCTTGAAAAAGAGCAGGTATTTTCTGTGTGTTTCAAGGGGAGGGCTGAGGTTTTGCAACTTTGGGGTCCTGTTTGGATTTTCTTAAACTCTTCTAAAACCCCTTGAAAACAGGCTGGCCTTCTTCCATTTTCTTCTCATAGGCTGAAGATTTTTCTGTTGCTTGTGGGATCCACTGTAGTTATTATGCCATGTCCTTTTCCTCCCAGACTAGTGGATCTTTGCTCTATGCTCTTCTTCTAGTGACTGTAGGTTGTGGCTCTTGTCTCACACATGTGAAATTTCACACGGTAATGTAGAGCTGAATGTGCTCAGTAGCTTTGGGACAAGTTTTGATAGAATTCATTCTGCTTCAGAAGTCTTTCTCAGTGACCCTCACACTTAAAATGCTTAAGTATTTTCATTAATTTCAGCTCTAGGTATTATTTATGCACAGGTTGCAGAGCTGTACCTTGGAATTTCCTTCATTAGTTCTGGAGATTGTAAGTTTTTCTTCTTTTGAGATACATCTGTCCATTTCCATCTTGTCTGAGAGAATACTGACCTCTATCATGTGAGATTCTCTTAAGAAAAAAGTGGAGACCAGGTCTTATTCCTCTGTATTGTGTTGTCTTCCTGTTAAAGTCTGTATTTTAGAGAAAGCAGTATATTTTCTTTGGCATTAAATCTCCTGTAGGATGTGGTGGTCCATCTTCTGCTGTACATAAACTCTTGGGCTTTTTGTTTCTTTAAGAATGGGAAGATACTTTTGTGTTAATGACTCACTGGTATATCTAGGCTGATTAAAGTAGATGATTTGTGCTGGATTCCTAGGTGTCAGTTTAGGATGGGATCAGTGAAGTCTGAGATGTATGGATAGATACTATTGAACTACATGACTTCTAATGCTGTTTTCTGGTTTTATTCCAGGAATGTACTCCAGAGAATCTGGAACTGAAAAAGAAGATTTTTGGTCAGTTGGATCTTATTGTGGATGACAATGTTATCTTGAGCAGCTCTACCTCTTGTCTCTTACCCAGCAAATTGTTCACTGGCCTTAAACATGTTAAGCAGTGCATTGTGTCACATCCTGTAAGTATGATGGCATGTTTCCTTTCTGTGTAAACTGCATCCCAAAGTCCTTCCTGCAGACTGAAAAATTCAGAAGGATATTTGGGGCTCTTGTGTGCCATTGTTAGTGTGCTGGGCCAACTTCTAAAAAAAGCTGTAGTTTGGTTGTTCTGCAAGCAGCAGCACTAATTACAAAATTGAGAGGATGTAGCATGTTGCATACTGTTGGCTCAAGATATGTTCTGTGTGAGCTGTTGTGCTCACATTGTTGTGTGTTTCTCAAACTACTGGCTTGTAGGAATTCTTCGTTATGGATACAAACTCATAACTTTGTTATTTTCTTGTGTTATTGTTAGTCTTTTCTAGTATCCTTTCTTAGCTTCTGTTGGGTAACAGAAAGAATCCAAACACTGAGCTGCATGTGCTTGTCAGGCTATATTGATAAAAGATGGGAAATTTAGACTCCAGTTTCTTCAGACTTGTGATGCAGAAGCAGTATTCCTTAATTCCTGAAAGAGGATAAGGAATGATGGAATGGAACAAACTGGACTTGGAGCTGAATTTGCATGCTTCATGACCAACTGGGATAGGGCAATGATGCAAAAATGGAATGACTAGAGGTTGCAGCAGAACCTCAAAATGGTCAAAGGCACTTGTGAGCTTCTGTAGAGGTCTGTTTGGAACTGCCAGACAGCAGTTTATCACATCTCTCCTCAGCATGGAAGAGCATTTTATATTGATCATCACTGGGATTCTTACTTGCTCCTGTTTTCCACTCTTTAAGAAGCTAATGAATTTGTTAACTTAATGTTAGTCTGGTGGTCAGCTGATCAGTTAAGAGAATTGTTGTCATGAAGAAAGGTGCTGCCCTGATCTTTGCAGTTTGGTAACGACATGATGTCTCTCCAGGGCATCCCCCAGTGTGTAAAGTAAATGTCAATTCCCTGGGCATGCTCAAGAGTGCAGAAATACAGCATTACTTTACTGTAGGGTCTCTACAGCTACTTGTAGCCTAATACTGTAGTATCAAAGCATATGATCAGTGCCTTTCTGACACCTCTCCACCACCACCATCGTGCCTTAGGGTGCTGGGTGGCAAGGGGAACAAAAGGTGGAACAAATGGCTTGCTTTGGTTTGTTTCTGTATAGTAAGTTTTCAATCCCTTTTAATATAAAAAAATCAAATTTCAAAATATCTATCTGTGCCTAGAGCTAGCCTTTCTCCAGTCTAAAATTCAGTAGTTCCTTATCTTTTATTTCTAGTGCAAGAGAAGACATAATGTCTCTTTAACATTTCTATATTAAGATTTATTATTACGATTTTTTTTTAACCAGTTCATGGCTGCTTGTTTGTCAATCTCTGATTTTACTGTACTCTTTCTTAGTGTTTTCCCAAACTGGTCTCTACCAGTAGCTTTTGTTTAGTCTGAACTGCAGTTTTTGTAGGAGCCACTCCTGAAAACAGGTTTTATCAGATCTGGAAAGATAGTTAGTCTCTGCATAAACATTTTCTATGTTTCTGTTGTAAGAATATGAATTTTGTCAAAGCAAATGCTCTGGAGTACCTTAAAATGTCTAATTGTTCCGAAATGTCTTTGCAGTCCAAATGAGACTGTTCCCTTAGTAATCTCAGCTTCACTCAGCTGTACTGAAGAAAGCTGTAAACCAGTGTACTTTTCCAGGGCCTTTCTGCATCTGCATTGGGAAACATGCTTGCTTTGTAGTAGTTGTTGGGCTTTTTCTTTTCATTTTGTTTTATTTTTTACTAAGATCTTGAACACAATAGTAGGATTTGATAGCTGCAGGAAGCAAAGAGCTCTGCAAGACACTGAAAACAAGTGTAGAATTTGATATACCAGAAAAATTAAGAGCTAAAGTTGTAGAGTCTCTGGCACAGGTGAGGATGTTGAGTTTAAATGAAATTAAGTGCCCAGAGGGCAGAAGCAGCTTATCCCTTTGCTTAACATGGTTCAGTAATTAGAAAAAAAAAGAAAAATCCCACAGCACAGCTGTATGATAGAAATGCACACCATACTTACATCACAATACAAAACGGGTACAGCTGTTCTCTGAAAGCGGTTTCAGGCAGTGGATCAGCAGAGGTCTGCTGCAGGGTTGTTCTCTTCTCATGTACTGTATATGCCTGCTAGGCCACACAACTGGAAATATGGAGCTAGAGGAGACTGTGAGGTTGAGTGAAGTCCCCTGTTGTACAGGAAACCCTGCAATCAAGTAACTTTAAAACTGCATTGAATTATCTCAGATTTTTTTAAACTCCATTACTCCTGTTAGAAATGATTTGTGTCTCTAATTTTTGTTCCCATCTTATTATGGGTCCATTAAAATCAATATTTATGTTTATTGACAGCTTTTGTATAACTTAATTATTTTTGGTGTTTTCTTTGTCATCTCCTTTCTTAGCTGTCACTTTGTTACACTAAGGTGACCTTCTGTTCCCTGAAAAGTATGTCTCATTTTTAGAAACTTTGCCCCATTCCCTATTTCATCTATGTTC